AATGTATGTATGTACGTATGTATGTATGTATGTATGTATGTATGTATGTATGTATGTATGTATGTATATATATATGTATGTATGTATGTATGTATGTATGTAAGTATGTATGTCTGTAAGTATGCATGTATGTAGTATGTAGGTATGTTTGTATGTATGTATGTATGTATGTATGTATGTATGTATTTATGCATTTATCTATGTTTGTAGTGTATTGTATTGTATTCGACTCATATTTCTTACCTAGAGATATATTGAAAATTTCATTACATTAATCCACCCCCCCTCATCTCCTGTTTATTCATCACAGACCAAGCGGGCGGCAAACTCGTCACGCCGCCTACAAGCACACGCCAAAACACTGCCGTACACGACCAACCCAACACACACACCTCATGTACCAAGAAGCAGGAGAATAAGGGGGCCAAGGGTCTGCTGAGCTACTTCCAGCCGGCACAGACATCTAATAGTGAAACACCCCAGGCAGGAGCTGACAAGCCCAGCAGTAGTACCAGAAATATTAGTACCAATAGCGGTACGCATACCGGGATGGGTACGGGGGAGGGTAGGTATGCGGGTCAGGGTACTGGGAACAACAGTCGGGGCGGAAACAGCCGGGGCAGTACGAGTACTTACGCGCTGAACCGAAACAATAGCGGCACAAGCAACCCTAGCACCACCACTACCACTACCACCAACACCAGCACCAACATCACCAACAACAACAACGGTGATATTACTGGCCATGGCATGAGCAATCAGAACCAGGCCAGGCATATCATCAACCTAGTGGATGGTTGTCATGGTCCTGTGACGGGGTTCAGCGCAGCCGCACCCCCGCCCAAACGCCCACGAACGGCCGGGGGAGGCAAGCCTGCGAGTAGTGTCGAGCAGACGGACGTTAAGATAACACAGGCCAAGTCACCGACCCAAGTATTGGAGCGAAAGGGTACCGGAATAGAGCCCCAGAAACGAAACGGGACGGGGGTTGGTGCGGATGAGAGGCGATGGAATGAGGACCGGGATGAGCTACATGCACATGAGATGAATTCACGAGCAGGTGAGGATGTCTGGGCGTTGTATGGACTTTGACGGGTGGCAGGGTTTGGCATAGGACAGTGTAGTTGGATGTCTCAGTGCTTTAACGGGAGGTAGGGTTTGGCATAGAACAGTGTAGTTGGATGTCTCAGTGCTTTAACGGGTGGTAGGGTTTGGCATAGAACAGTGTTGTTGGATGTCTGAGTGTCTCGTTTGTGCTGATCGTGCGGTTGATCGAATGATGGTCCACGCACTTGTTGTTCAGAGGTAAAGGACCACCCCACCCGTCCCCCACAGACTTCGTGGTAGTTGCGACACGCCTGAGCCTGTAGTATGAAGATGTTGATTTGGAATAGCTTGCAGTATCTATCTCGCCACAAGAACCATCGTGCAAACCTTCGCAGCCTTCCATCTCCGCTTATACAGTGCACATAGGAAGTCATCAGTACTGAAATCATTCGTGGGAATACACACATATACGTGCACGTATACTGGTTGTGTAGGTGTGATTTTGTATGTAGATATGCGCTTCTCACCTTCTAGTGTACAAATGCGTATACGTTTATTCGATATTGTTCGTCACAGTGGCAGAGGTCACACAGCAACTCAGTGAGGCAACGAAGGACTTGGAGAGGCAGAAACGTGAGAATGCCAAACTGATACGCAACGGATTAGACCTGACCATGAAGAACAGGTACGAGCATCACAAGTATGGTATATCTGACTATTCGTAGCGATATATATATATATATAATATGTATATATATATTAATATATATATGTATATATATATATGTATATGCATTATTATATATATATATATATATATATATATATATATATATATATATATATATATATATATATATATATATATNATATATAATAATAATAATAATAATAAT